TAGGGTAGAATCTCAAAGCAGTAGTGGACAAGGTGATTGTTCCTCCTCACTTTCTATGACAGTCACCAAGTTGTTACAATGATTTTTCTTCTGTTTTTCACTGGTTTTAGAAGCACTATTCACTGTTACAGGGGTGCTTTTATTAGAGCAAAACCGGCAATGAACAGTATGCTACACGACTGTAGTGTTACAAGGAATTTCTGTTAAAGGCAATTTTATTCATACAGGAAATTCAAACAGAAGGAAGAAAAAGATTTTTTTTTTCTGTATTTTAACTATGAGGGAGTTAAATGAATAATGAGGGAGTTAAATGAATAATAAAGCCCAGTATTATTTAGCATTTCTATAAACTAACCCTATTTGAGTAATTTGAAAGCTGCTACTAAAAAAACATTTATACAAGACCTAGATATTACTATTATTTATATGTTGTACACAGGAATACCTAAAAACACCTTTACAAAATGTGTTGCATTAAGCTTCACTATGTACCCCTGTAATAAAATAAAAATAGTGCTGTTAAATTGATTTTTGTTTACTAATCACAGTTACATTGTGTCTTAAAATTGGCAAAAAGTTTATATCATAGTGTGCTTTTTGAGTATAACTACCAAATTGTTATCACTTAAAAAAAGTCTTGAGAGAAGATATGTATATAGGTTTGGGTTTTTTCATCCAAGAAGCTGTATGGGTCCAAGACAGATTTATCAAATTAAATTTCATCAGTTGCACCATTTTTTGGACAGAGTTTTATAAGGGCAATTTTATAAGCTAAAGCAGAAAATACATTCCTCCAGGCCAAATCTTTATTATACTATATATCTGAGCCTAACATCATAAAGCTGTTTCTAGATTTTGGATGATTGTCTGACCTGACAATTTAAGGTTTACAATTTTCAGTCACTAATTATAGGGAAAATATTACTATCTATAACATAAAACCTTTTCACTGCAATTTACTTATCCATTTGCAAAGAATCCTGCTGTTTTGATAGATGTTGTAATACACTGAACTTCATTCATCTCTCCAGCAGTTTTGACTTTAAAGCATTGTAAGCCTCTTTTATGACCTGGTTCTTCAATATCATACTGAAAATACTGTTCTGTTGCACTATGAGAATAATGCCCAACTTTGCTTTAATCATATTCATAAGTCATTGTACTGCCTGAAAGTAATTAACTAATATCCCTAGTATCAAATGAAACCGTGGTTTAGCTGTCTGATACAATTAATGGTAATTTATTTCATCTGTTAAGATAAATTGTACTTAGCCAGTCTTACAGATATTATGAAGAGTTAAGATAGTTTGTTAATTGTAAGGTAGAAATAATTAAATTACATCTGTTGTGGTCTTTCTATAAGGCAATACATTAAAAATAAAGGTGGATTTTATTTTCTTTTTTCTGCTGTCTAATGAAAGCTTGTGAGCTTGAGTTTGATCTTTCATTATATTTCTTGTCTTTCATCTTAGAAATATCAGTAGCAGCAACTGTTGATTTTCTTGTTGTGCTGAAGTACCATTTCAGAGGAAAAAAAATAATGTGCTTTTCTGCGTCATATTTTAACACACTAAACAGATTTCTACAAGTTATCCTTGTATTCAGTAAAGCTACTTTTATTATGAGATTGTGTTCATTCTGAGTATGGAGATCCTGTTTTAGTCTTATACTCTTAAATGAAGAAGCAGAATGGTGCCTTGTTTAAAATAGACCGCTGTCCTCCAAATTGTTTTCTGCAGGTGTGAACTAAATAGATGCTAAAGGTAAAGTAAAATAATGAAAGATTTTTCAACAACTGTCTAAAAAAATCTCTCAGCAATTTAGGTTTTTCTTCTTGAGTGCTAATCTTTTCGTGATCTCTCTAGTTCCTCAGGTATTAAGTGGATCTTCCTTGTGAATAAGCAAAATAAAATAGAAAACTCTTCCATACCTTTCATATATCAGGAGAATCCAAGTAAACAAGTGTGGAGTAGATACCTGATCTTGGGCACCTGCTTAGAAAATGTTCATCTCCATGTGTTTGACTGTAACTATGCTGGTGTGAAAATGTCTCTTAACGTATCATAGACAGTGAAACAAAGCAGCAGTTTTCTACCTTTTTTTTCTACGTCTCTCTTTTTGCTATAGATTATGAAGTAGAAACATCATGTGATGACTTTCATTGTTCTTATACGGGGTTGAATAGTATATAATATATGGATTTATCTACGTATTTATTTCATTAGAGATTGCAAAAAATACAGTATTTTGATGCATTCTGGAAGTTTTACACACCTCTCATGAGTGTACTAGCCATTAAAGATAAATTTGTTCTGCTTTCAAAGCATCAAAAAAAAATCCTGGCCTCCCAGGTATGAATAACTGCACATCACCCATACATCAGCTGGAGGATCCGTAATCCCTTCTGTAAATCTTGTTAGGTGATTCTCTTTGTCTTACATAATTGAAATAGACATCAAGGAAAAACTGAGAGCCTGCAAAGATGGCTTTTGCAAAGGCAGAATGTTTTGTCTAGTTATGTACTCACTTGATTGATTCTGGAACTAATTCTTTTTGCATATGACAGAAATGAGGAGCCTCCATCCCAAGTTACTCCACTTGAACAGTTTGTCCTGGCAACCTTTTTCTTGAAGTCTCTGCAACTTTTTCTCATACAACTCAAAATTCACTTATATGCAAGTCGAATGCTCCTGTTCTTATCCAAAAGAATAATACTACTTACTTTCCTGAGAATGGTTGAGAGAAAAGTGAGAATGTTCTTCTGTTTAGCACCCTGATAACTTCCACATATCGAAATATAGAGGACTTAATTCCATTTTTCCAGAAGTCAGTGTGTATTTGCTGTTTATTTCAGGTGGAACTTTCTGCCCTTACTGGGTATGGGCTTTGTGCAAAGCAACTGTTGCATGTAAATTATGAAGTACTTTTGTGCAGATGTGTGTGAGCCAGGGAGGTTAAATATTGACATAATAACTGTGAAAAATAAGACAAACATATTTGTGCAGTATTTATAAAAGCGCATTCATATCTTCAGAGGTTTCAGGCTTCTTCACAGTTTTCCTGTGCTATGTTTTATATATTTGAAGGACATCATAATATTTTTATAGGAAAAACATGTTTTGGTTAAAATCTTACTCAAAATGTCCTTTTGCCCTCCTGTATGTTTGTTTATTATAAGATTCTATTTCTTAGGAAAACAGAAGGAAATCTATTTAGATGTTCCTGAAACTTGAGGTCTAATTTCAAGGCAGTTGAGAAGCAGGAGGAGGGTTTAGACTCGTGAAATAAAAAATAACTCAGCAAGCTATTCTACAGTTGACCTTTGGTCATTATCACATGATATTCTTATTGGTTAAGATTCTGTATAAATTTATTCTTCCTTTGCACTTTGAAAAATGACAGCCCTTCATTTGCTCAGGATGAGAGTGACTTGCTGCTATTTTACAGTTTCAAACCCACCATTCTGCTTATGCATTTTTAAGTATGATATGTCAAATTGATTATGTTTTACTAGCAGAAATTTGTTCTTAAAAATTCTGATAATCACAGTTGTTACGAAGTGCATTGTTATGACATTTCAGATTTTTTTAATCTCTGAAACACACTTTACAGAATGCAACCTTATCCAGAATGAATGCCATGATCA